TTTGACCTTGAAATAAAGGTCAAAGGTCAAATCCAAGGGCATATTTGAAATCTACACATATGACTTTTGGAAAGCCGTCTGTAGAAATTTTTCCCATAATTCCTTCCGTAGGGTAGATAATTAGCATTTAATTTTGCCATTTTTGGACAAGGGTGCATTGCAATGAATGCCACACCTAGACCCCAATACCGACAAAGCCCAAATTTTACGTGAAACGAGTTGAGATTATAGGTGACCTAAATCCAAGAGATGGGTATGGGGGCCCTTACCGTCTAGGAGGAGAAGCGGTAACGGTAACATGGCGGCGGAGCTGGCGGAGCCGCAGGAGCCGGCGGAACGGACCGGACGGGACTAAAACCATGTGTACCGCCAGCGCTAACGCTGGTGGTACAATAATGGCCCGATCATGCTGATTTTCGAATTTGACCTGCGTTTTAGTAAGATTGATTACTCCTGGCTTATCGGTTTTCCTTGAAATGTGTTAACAGTGTTGCATATATGCTGAAAAGTGAAAAAACAGCAGACGCAGGTGATGGCAATATGTACAGACACATCTGTGTCTGTACATCAAAAAAATGCTAGATTCATTTAATACTTTGTCTGTCCTCTCTACCAATATTATTTCAAACAATTTGTAACCACTGATTTAATATGCCATATCACACAGTATGTCACAATTTTTTGCCACACCAAACACACTTTGCACCCCATGTTTCACCTAACATAATCTGTAGTCATGGCTGCCTTAGATATGCCTTTGCTTCCTTTGTTATGTGAGAGTGTCTTGTGCTGGGGCGTCTTCATTCCCCAGGAAACAGGACTGTCAACCTTCTGGGTAAGCGATTCAACCTCTTTGGACTCTTTGGATACCTAAATTATAGCAAGTTGTTTATTTTTTACTTTATATATATGGCAAATTAAACAACGCCCATATTAAAGAGATTGTCTATGACAATTTGACGATAAAGAGATTATGCAAAATACAGTAAGATTTTTCAAGTGCCACAGCCTATGTGAAATCAATACCTCTACATTATTACATGCTGACTAGGCTCACAGCAAGTCGTCCATTAATATATCAATTACAATAAACTATTCGCTTCAAAGAAAGCCTACTGAAGATGTTTGGGGGTGATTAACTATCACTGACCAGCTTCAGTTGGTATGCCATATATCTAAGCTGCTTAAGCTGAAAGCAATTTAGCGAGGAACCCCATGGAGATGGGTCGATCCTGCTAGATCGATCTCGGTACGGGAATGGGGTCTTAAGTATATAAGTAATTACCAGTATTAATAAAATGACAATTTGGTTCCACCAACTTCACTTTGATGCTGTTGATGTTTCATATGTAGTACATGAGTTTTTTTTCTGGTAACTAAGTACAATATTAAAATGATTTAAGATCTTTAATGAGCAACACTTTTATTAGCTATAGGCTTATAAAAGTCATTACAAGGAGTTGGAACTTGCAATGGAAGTGAGAGGCCTGACTGAAGAATTTATGAAGCATATGTCATGTATTATTAGATTATTAGTATTTGCTGAGTATCGAGTATAAATTATTGTGTTCCACTTGCTAAACACGTGATAGTTCATTGCCTTTATTGCTGTGGACTGCTGGAAAAAATGACAAGAATATACAATATCAGTTGCTAAGCAGCAAAAGGTTAAAGAGGAAGAGAATGAGGAAATGGTACCTTAGGTTTTGACACTAAATGAAGAAAGCCAAGCAGTGGCTCATGATTAAAGAATAGCGAGTTCTTAGACAAAGATTTTGATTCCAGTCTGCAACTTCAGCCACTGGTTTGTATCAGCAGATTTGAGGAAAGTGGTGGTCTTTATATATGGTCAGTAAGCTGTAAAGATTATGGCAAAGACTGTGATTCAGAGATCAACATGTGTAAAATTAGCCATGCAAGCATTGCTCTTGGAGACTTCATCTGTGCATGTTGAGTGTTCTGAACTGCATTAATCTAAAGTGCCAAAAACTTAAAGCAATAATAACTCTTCCTTTGAGATTCAAAATTCCGCATGAAATACATTGTAAACAACGCATGGAAATATATTCTATTGTATTTTACCACTAAAACGGCCGTTATTGTAGTAAAACTAAAATCTGTGCTTGTCAATGGGGCTTTCGGTGCCTTTCTTCCCAGTCATCAAAGCATTCGTTGCTAATGACGTAATGGTGTCACGCGGATTCTCGCGTTCATTCGAGACCAATATAACATGGTGCCAAACCCATTAATGCGGACGCAGACGTAAGTTGCGAGTTTTTGTACAGTGCGTCGGATAACGAAAAAGCCCAGAATGGCACACATTGTGGATATAAATGCATTTTTAACAAAAAGACGAATATATCTCATGAATCTTATATAGTGTTGTTGTTGTCTGCTTTTCCCGCGGTTTTAAGTAGGTCACCAGTGACTTTGCAATGTCAGAGAGAGCTCTGTCAGTTAAAATCTCTTAAGAGATTTTAACAAAAAACCGTACGTTTAGGAAAAAAACCCTGGATTAACTTTGAATGCAGGAATGGGGTCGTTGACCATTGGTAAGTACGGGAAAATTGCCGTTTTTTCCAGGAAAATTCAATTTTTGGCCAAAACGAAGAGTTATTATGACTTTAAGTTCCATTAATTATTAAAAAAGAGGATCAGAGAGGTGATATTCCCTCCTGGTATTGTACCACCAGCAAGAGTAAGTGCATTCAAGTTGAGGTAAGGCATGGAAGTATGTGTGTTACTTGTGGAGAAGTAGGGTTGGGTATATGTGGCAAGAGTATTTTATGGGGAGAAGTAGGATAAAAGTCTAAATGAAGTGCAGATGAAGATGTTCAACATATGATTGTTCAATATATGACTGTTTACAGTGGACCTTTTTTTGATTCAAGAGTTTTCAAGTTTCAGCATCTAATGGCTGCTTCTAATGCACAAATTGACCCAAACTCACAAAAGTAACAGGAGACCCTTAGTGTAACACCTCACACTTATATGAAAGCTTTGGTCTGTGTAGTTTCTGAAAATTGGCACAAACAAATTTTTTTTGCTGCAAATTATTATTTTTTTCACAAAATTTTGGCCCATTTGACCTTGAAATAAAGGTCAAAGTTCAAATCCAAGGGCATATTGGAAATCTGCATGTATGACTTTCTGGAATACTTCTATAGTAGTACTTCAATAATTCCTTCAGTTTGAGAGGTTTAGCATTTAACAATTTTGACAAGGATACATTGCAACAAGTGTCACGCCTAAGGAAATGCACTGACAGAGACCAAAATCTAGGGGGATCAACTTGAATTTATATGTGACCTTATTCCAAGAGACAGAAACAGGTCCTTCTGGTCTAGGAGGAGAAGCAGTAAGGGTGAATTGTATGCACTCACACCCTGCAGAGCTGTTCCAGATGGGGCAGGGGTAGAACCATGAGTATACCATCAGTGCTCGCTTCCAGAAGGGAAAGCAATCAGACTGATTTTCCAACTCAAGCCCATTTCAGTCCTATGAATCTTTTCAGTAAGTTTGAGAATTATAAGTAACATGGTTTTCCTTTAATGGTCACTATGGCGGCAGAGTCCAAAATAGAGTTTTCTTCAATTCTGATGCATTATTACATACTGATTAACAGTAAATACGACTAGCAAAGGTCTTCCAAGCCCATGGAGGTTCAAAGTCACAACTTGAAAATGCCAACATGTGAAAAATTACATTTAAAAAAAAATGTATAATGAAAAAAAAAATTTTATAAAAAATTATATTGCTTTCAGAAAAATTAACTAATCAGACCATTTTTCCAAATAAAGCTGTATTTTAGTCCTTTGTTTCTTTCCTATAAATTTGAGAAGAGTAAGTGACATGCGTTTCCTTTAATGGTCACTATGGCGGCAGTGCCCAAAATAGGGTTTTCTTCAATTTTCTTTTAAATTTTTGATGCAATTTTACATAATGCTAATCAGCATAGTCACCACCAATCTTTAATGATGCACTGCAGGTAACATGGATTTATAGTAATGTAACTAGCAGAGGTCTTCAGGCCCATGGAACTTCAAACTCACATCTTGAAAATGCCAATGTTATCAAGAGATTACTGAAATGAATTCATTTCCAATTTCAACACTTTTTTTTACATAAAACAAAATAATCAGTTTACTATCATTCATGTATGATCAACAACAAAAAAAAAAAAATGTTTAGATGGGAAAAATATCAATATCAATTTTAAATGTCCAATTTGCTCCATTCTGAGACCCTGAACACAGTCAATGATTGAAGATGACAAACTGCAATGATATGAGTTAATTTCCTTTTTGACACATACATAGGTTTACAATACACGATAACAGGTTTACTATCATTTTTATATAATCAACTAACAATAATGTTAAAAAGAACACTTTTACAGATCTAATTAGTTCAATAATGAAACTGTTAACATGGCTAACAACTGAAAGTGGGGAAAACCACTTAACTTCATCAAAACTGAACCCATCAAGCTTATTTTCAAACTAGATCTGTACATTAGGTCTATAAATCAGTTGTTCAAGTACTGAAGCAAAATACAACATGGTTTTTATGTTACCTTTATATTGGTAGATAAAATATGCTGAAAAAAGAGGAAAAACTTTTGTAAAAATGGTCTGATCAAGCTGATTTTTGGACTCTGCTTGTATTTTAGTAAGACTGATCACTCCTGTGAGTTTCAAGACAATAGGCCTATTGGTTTTCCTCGAATGTATTATAAGAATTGCATACATGCTGAAAAAATAGCATAACTTTTGAAAAAATTGGCCAGATCATGCCGATTTTCAAACTTGACCTGTATTACATGAATATTCACGCATCTGTGTCTGTACATGAAAAGTGCTATGAGGAGCTCACCTTAAGAGCTCTTGTGAAAAAAGAGGGTACAAAAGCTGGAGTGAAACAGCATGGCCTGGCATAACATCAACCCTTGCTAGTTATCATAGAAGCACTTTGAATGCGTACCATTCTTTCAAGTAAGTTTGACTTAGGGCCATTCCCAGACTCTATTATATAAACTATGGATCAATCTATCTCAGTGGGTATTCTCACTAAATTGCAATCAACCTAAGTGGCTTAGATGTCTGTCCTCCTACTGAAGCTGCTAGGAGGTAATTAATTTTTATTTAGCAACTTCAGTAGGTGTGCCAGACATCTAAGATGCTTAAGCTGAAAGCAATTTAGCGAGAAACCCCTCTGAGATGGATTGATCCTGTTAGATCGATGTAAGTATGGGAAGTCAGTCTTACAGAATGTGGGGGATACCTGATATCAGTCCACAGAAAGAAACTTGTCATAACAGTCATACTGTGAGTAAAATTGTATTGACTTACAGCAGTGTATGTCAGCATGTGCAAGACACACAGATAAATGAAATTGGCTATTTTATGTTGTATTCAGTTCTGGTTAAAAGTAGGATGATGCTAATTTGGGAGCAAAGAGCAGCTGATGAACCAAACATTGCAGCAGCTTCAGATTCCCGCAAGAAAACACTGTAGATACTCCAGCGCAGTAGACAACTGCAATCATACTGTAAACTGCAGTAGACTACTGCAATCATACTGCAAACATGCTTCAAATCTGCTTCGATTTGGGAGCTAATTAGCATATTTGAAACATGCTTCTATTATGCTGCTAATCTACTCATTAATGCTCCTCTCTGTGCAAACACTAGTGGGCTGGATTTGGTCTTAAAGTGCAATTTAAGATCACAAATGATCTAACACGGTCTTAATTATTAAAGCAGTAGTCTTAAAATGGACCGCATCTGCTTTTAAGATCAAAAATGATCTAGCATCTACTTAGGAGGTCAACCAGTTTCCTCCCCTCACAATGTGGGATGCCTCTTCTCACAATAGAGGACACCTCTGCTCACAATAGGAGAACGTGTAAGGGGAGACAACTTAATTGGCTGTCAGTGCAGAAATGGTCTTACTCATGGTTTAAGATCAGATAAGACTACTTGTGATCTTAAATTGCACTTTAAGATCAAATCAAGCCCAATAGTGAAACCTATGTACTTTTTGGAGTAGAATTGCAGTAGGCTATGCTGCATTTCTACTGCAAATATGCTCCACACCACTACTGCGTTAATGCTTTTTTGCTACTTCGATACCACTGCATTTTCGTGCGGGTTGCCATGTGACATTAGTAAAGATATCCAGTTTTACTTATAACCTTGAGACACTTTTGTTGTTTCCTTGTCCATTTGATAAATAAACATTTGTGTTGGAAAATGTTCAATAAAGCCGTTGCTCTGACAAATGGTTACTTTTATTAATCACAAAATTTGGAACATTAAACATTGCTTGCATACCTGTCTAGAGGGCTTGCTTTTGTGGATGCTACTACTTCCACTGCTTGAAGGTTTAATCAAGGATTGCTTTAGCTCCAATTCCACCTGTTCTTCTAACTCTTGCCTTTTGCTCTCACGTAATGATGCTAACAAAGCTTTCTTCAGATCTGTTTCTTCCCTCCATGAAAGCCCTGCACTCTCATCCTGTAGAGAAAAGAATCAAATAAAATTGTACCATGCTGCATTATTGTTCAATTTTCATTTTTTCAGGCAAACAACAGACTAAATATTAATCAAAACTACAGATCATATTTATTCATTTTCATGCCAAAGACCTTTAGTCTGAGTACTCACAATTAGCCTCTGCAAATGTCAAACTGGTTAAATCCCTCACTAATTTTCAGAAATCTGAGAAAATTTATGAATATCACATTGAAAAAAAGCCTACCAAATTTTTGGGTATTATTGTTCTTTTTGGCCTTTCTGCCAACAGAGGGACAGCAGGGATGCATGGGTCTCTCTTGACATTCTTCTTAACTGGAGGCATGCTTTCACCGGAATCGGACTTTGATGATAACTGCAAAGAAGCACCTCCTGTGAAAGAGGGTTGTTTCCGTCTTAATTTTGTATCAGTTCTGACAGGACTTGAACAGCTGGGTTTGGTTTTCAAAGGTCTTATTGGCGATGACTTCCTGACAGCATAGGTCATGCCATGACTACTGTGTCTACGCCCCTTTACTTCAGTTTCCACTACTTTCTGTTTAACATAGGATAGGAATTCTACCTGGAAATCTGAGTGGAAAAATAAGAATGAAATATTTATCTATATTTGGGCATCGATTATTTATATATGAATTAGACACCCCTGTCAGATCTTACATTACTTCACCAACACCTATTTTTTTCGAATTTTTCACCCACCCCTTCTAATCAATCAAAAAATACATAAATAAACCAGATAATCAATACTGCCTCCTGGGATGTAGCACCAGCTAAGAAAAGTGACAACAACACAAGTAAAATAACTAACAAGGAAGCAAAGCTGTCAAATGTACAGACAAAAAGAAGAAAATTATGATGCACAAAATAGGCTATTGTCATTTTTGATGCAATAATACATTACAGCAAAATCAACAACAAATTTTAATTATTTACAACAGGTAAAATGGATGTATGTAAAATGTACTTGATCTGTATATATTAGTTCTGTGAATCAGTCTTGCAAGTTTTAAAGCATGCCGAAAAGTCTGACACATTGAGGTGGTCAGCATGTTTTACACATTAGCGCTCCCATTCTGACTAAAATTACTAATGTGTACTATTTATGTTCCATCAAAATCAACTAAAAAAATTGTATATGTTGATAATAAACTCAAGAAAAAAAGTTGACAGCAAATGAAATAACCTTTTAGTTTCATATTTTCAAAGTTTTTTGTGGAAATGAGTCTTAAATATCTAGGGAAAATGTTGACATAAAAAGACCAGCAAAAGTTTCATAGGACCAGTCAATTTTTTGTCCAGCTTGTCGTAAGGACCAGTAAAGACCCCAAACTTTTACCATGTCTGCTTGTAAGAATCAAACTGTTTTCCTGGTTCTGTAACGACAACTCTAGGAATTCATACGTAGCTATAATAGGTTTGAAATGGGTGATCATACATTGACTATTCAAATTTTCTTACTTGGAAATTTCTGGATAATTTGATGTGTAATCTACTACTATCAAGTAAACTGTACCTATAAAACAAAATACATCAGCCCCTACTTTTGTCCAAGGTCCTACTGAAACTTTGTGATCAGTGAGAACTTCTGACAAATACTAATGTAGAGTACTAACAGTGTCAGTAATATCAGGAGATATGTTTGGCAAAATTATAATACTGTTGCTCTAGCTTGGCATTTCTTAATATAGTACCCAAATGACTTTCATGTACGTATTCTAGGAGACCATTCCCAGACCCTATTGTACTAACTTTGGACTAAACTATCTCCAAGGGGATTCTCACTTAATTGCAATCAACTTAAGCGGCTTAGATGTCTGCCATGCCTACTGAAGCTGATAGAGGGGTTAATAAAGCAGCTTCAGTAAGCATCCCAGACATAAAAGCCACTTAAGCTGAAACCAATTTAGCGAGAAACCCTGTGCAGATGAACCGATCCTATTAGATCAATCTAGGGATAGGAACCCAGTCTATGTAACATATCTTTTCTCATTGAATTGGGTATGTCAACACTATCAATCGCTGGTAAAAATGAAAATATGACATCAAAAACTTACTAGTAGACGAGTCCTAGCCATTGTGAATTGCTTTCATCACTAAATCCAGAGTGCCATCCAATTCAGTTTCCAAATACATGGACATCCTGTACACCACCTTACTTTCTCGCTATGGTTTTTGGCCAGTCATTAATTGTGTAAATTTTAGTAATAATACCCAATGAAAATAATACAACTAGAAACTTTCAAATATAAAGAAAAACTTGCATTATTTCAATGTATAAGGCATCTAAAATGAAGTTAATAACAGCTAGACATACTCAACCTTCTTGGGTGTTGTACCAAATATACTCATTGGTATTCACTTTAGAAAAATCAGGGCATAATTAAGTAAGCTCAGCACCAGGACCATATTTTATCAGCCCATTTGGGATGAGGAAAGCTTTATAAAATCGTATGAGATATTATTTTTTGTTCAATTCTGGTCTTTACATATGAAAAAAAAGTATCAGGACCCACATCCTAACTCAATTTCTTCTTGGGTTCATGAACTCAACATACTTTTTGTATGGGAGTTCAACCCTCTTGCTTTAGGATAAGCAAGAACGTCAATTCGTTTTTAACTGATATTATTTCACTGCTTCATAATTAGGGGATAAGCAGATGAATCTGACCTTTTGTTCAAGAAGCTGTCAATAGCAGTGTCAATTGCTGTCAGTGGCAGGTGAGTTACTCCAGGAAGTGAGATGTATGAAAAAGATTTGAGAGCTCCTAACACACTAGCTGACCATCATGGACAGTTTGTGCACTTTGAGAACATATCTTTCATGCATTAACACTAATAGTAAATTAGAAAATTAAAATAGTTCTAAGTCTTCCTGTATATTTCAGAAAGTTATTCTAGGGGTTTCATTCATAAGGTCTGAATATAAGAAAGTAACTTTGCACCAGGTATAGAGAATATCCCCCCCCCCCCCACCCCCAATCACCAAGAGTTCCTGAATCACGTTTCACGCAGAATATTGGACTCAAATAACACATCACGCTCAAAAAATAAGGCCAATCACGCTGAACGCAAAAGGTATTCCCTACCCTCTTGCACAATATATAACATATGCACATGTACATGTAAAAAACGCCATTTTCATGCATTCTGAAATGATAATCCATTAAACCACATTTTGGGGGTGGGGGATCGTGGATAAATCTTCCCAACTTGTAGGCTCCTGTTTATTATTACAATTGTGAGTTCAGTTGATGAGGATCGGAACATGCACAATCATAAAAGTAACATCACCAGTTTGTCCCCAAGGCACAAAGAAGATACCTGAGAATGGGTCAGCTTGGAGTAAATAATTCGATATGTAAATTTTAAAAAAATCAATTTCGAATCAGGGTATTTCCACTTAACCATTTTAAGCACCATTTACCACTTACCTCTATTCATCTGAATATTTCATTTCTCCACGTAGAACAATAAGAACCCTTTTTATCGCAGCTTTAACTGAGATGTGCACCTGTTGTGCTACAAGTTCATTCATGTGTAAAAATCTTACGGAGATACTTTGAAAGTGGTATTTGATTGGATAAAACAACTGAGTCTTGAAAAATCTCTTTCTCGAAGGCGGTTTTACATAATTTTTTTTCACTGATCCAAAGGCTTATTTTATAAACCATTCACAAGAATTGATTCATAAACTTATCCACTGTCAGCGGGAATAAAGTAACTTAATCTTTGCACAAACATGGCGGCGCCCATGATTATGAGGCTTTTTTTCGCCGGCTCTTTTTTAAGCTTAATATCTGGAGTTCATGTTGCCGATGTTTTTAACGAGGAGCTCCTTATTAAACCCTTAGACTCAGGTCATGTATACGCCCATTTTCAATTCACAACAAAGTGGGACATAGATATTCAGACACAGCAAAATTGTAAGTGTATTTTTGCTTTGTTTTTGTTGCTTGAGGTCATTATATAATATTTGGACCCCATTCCCATATATAGGTCGATCTGACAGGATCGCTCCATCTCTGAAGGGTTTCTTGTTAAATTGCTTTCATCTTAAGCGGCTCTGATGTCTGGCACGCCTACTGAAGCTGTCAGGGGAAAATTTACTATCATATTTAGCAGCTTCAGTTCAGCTTCCCAACCCACCATAATTAAATGATAGAAAAAGAAAATAACAACCAAAAATAACAAAATTATACTCAAATTCTATTTAATTACTTATGTATTTTTTATTTTATTAAATCAAATAACATCAGTCTACAAATAATTTCAAATTTGTATTATATTAGCGCAAGGTAGGCAATTCAAGTTCTCTTACCCTAAACACGTTGTTATCTTCACGCGTTTGAAAAAACTTTTTTTTTGCTCTGCTCAGAAAAAGATTTTTAGAGAACGTAATAAACATGCTTTGAGTCAGAGAGCTCAGACAGTTAGCTTGCATCAGTTCGTTTCTGCTTTGATTTTGTTTACTCATCACTTGATGCTGATTCTGAGACGTTCTCAGTCCCTTCTACGGGACGTTCTTAATTTTCAAATCTGCTCCATGATCCACTTGCACGCTTTCTCCCGGAAGTATCGACTGCGCATAATCCCAAGACGTACTTTGTCAAACTCCGTCACGCAAACGAAGCAATCGGCAATCCTTGGCTGATTCCGCAAGCTCCATACTAACAATTAATAATATAATATAATATATATATATATATATATATATATATATATATATATATATATATATATATTATTGTCAAGTGCGGAGACATCCGAGTAGTTCCGAGTGCAAACGAAGGGGCTTTCAAAATCGACAGTGAGACTGAATACGTCACTACAGATTTCCTCAACATCAACCAATCATAATTATTACTTATGAAAGTAAAAACGAGGTTAGCAGTTAGGGGAATTCCCAGAACTTCCCCCTAAATATTGGCATGTCAATCAGACTTTTATTGAGTCTAAATTTTGCCGATACACTTAATATAGAAAGTTGACATAAATATACTCGCCAAAATGGCGACTTGCATCATAAATTTCACACGCCAGATTTAATTTTTACTTGCATTTGGCGTGCTGGTGAGTGCGTGTGTCAAACGCTGATATTGTTATTTTAATATCTGACCTGTAATAAAAAGTTACTAGAAAACTAAAAATGTATGGCCATGCAATATTTGGTAATACATGTACTTATGCTGACATTCATTATGTAGGACTTGAGTTTCTGTGTATATGTGAAAGGAAATGCTATCCAACAGGAACATATGTAGCTGGGAATCTATGGTAATGTGCCAAACAGTTCGACCAGTGCAATCAATCCAACCAAAAAATTATTATCTAAAATTTTTTTTCTGGGCTCCAACATTTAGATGAAATGTCAAAAATGCCAAAATTTTGCCATAATTTCCAATGATTAAGTCATCCATTCCTACATTCAAAGTTAGTCAATTGTTTGTTTTTTAAGTATTTTTTTGTAATTAACTCTCAATAGACCATTAAAAAAACACTTGAAAAAACAATTGACTACCCTTTTTAACTCTTTAATGATCTCTTAACAGATGATTACTGAGGGTTAGCCATCTATTAAGGTCCACACCATCCGATAGCAAGCACAGGTTTTAGAATAATTGTGATAACTCTCATTTTGGTGGTAAAATGGATTTTATTATACTTTTATGTATTATATTTATTTGTGGATTTTTGAATCTCATATGAAGAATTGTTATGATCCCTTCAGATTTTGATGAGTGGCTTTGTTTAGTAAAATGGCATGGTTCCTTTCCAAAGTCAGCACAATTGGATTATGTTTATAGTTTTTTAATGTTAAATATTGTTGCAGCGTTTTTGCTGTATGGTATCTTTATACTTGACAGCTATGCTGTCTAGATATTTCATTCTGATAACTGAAGCAAAACATACATTTGTTCTGTATTTCAGTTACACACTATGGTCTCTTTCCCAAGTCATTAGGAGAGGTTCTGGCCAAGTATTCTGTGCATGAGTTACACCTTAGTCTTACCCAGGGGCTTTGGAGGCATAGAATATGGGGTTATCCAGTTGTCAGTGCTCCCCCTGGGGCTGAGCTTTGGGCTTGGTTTAAGAGGGACACTACCAAGTAAGTTGCCTTCAAGTTGGTTTCTGTTTTTTAAATAGTTGGACTATGTTCTTTTATTGGACGAAACTTTAAAAAATTGTGGTTTACAGGAGTTGATTTTGACAAATATGGAAAAATGAAATTGCTCAAAAGAGCATGGACTTGTAAAATATATTATGCAATAATACAACCATGAAATAAGAAAACTGAAAAAAAGTGTGTGTGTGTGTATTCCTTTTTTTTTTTTTTTT